GCACCGCTGAGGTTCTGACCACTTACCGGCAGGTTAAGGCTAAGGATATTTATCCTGTCTGCCCCTGTCTGGCTACCCGTTCCCGGGAGCTGGATCTGTGACTGAGCTTGCTCCATTGTCCACGTAGAACGAAACGATAGACGTCTGGAACCAGTTCAGGGGAGCTCATGCACTGTCCACCAGTATAGTAGTTGTTGTACCAGGCCGCTATACGGCTGATAACCTATAGTTGAGTAGAGCCACTCAAATCCCACGCACTGTTGTAATGACCGTTCAGTGGTAGTAGAGGTTATACCATGGCAAGCTTGCACACTTTTCTACCAGAGCACTAGCGGCAACAGTCATCCACAGGTACGCACAAAAGGACAATAATTTACACGTGCATAATCTACACCCAAAGCCCCCAACCCCTAAACCCGAAAACCCTTAGAACCCTCGACCTAAACCCTCTCCCCCTAACCACCACACCCCTAAACCCGTAAACCCCGAAACCCCTAAGCCCTTAAACTCCCCCACCCCGAAACCCCTACAACCCTGAACCTCTATCGCTTTACACCGAAAGCCCGAAAGCCCCACACCCCTAAACCTCTAAACCCCCGAAACCCCTAAACCCCTAATCCCCACAAACCCTTAAAACCCCCAAACCTAAACCCCTTTTTGCATCAGGACTTGTGCAATCGCCTGAATATCCTAAACCCCTAAACCCTTAAACCCCGAAACCCTTAAATCCCTAAACCCTTAAATCCCTAAACCCCGAAACCCTTAAACCCCTAAACCCCACAAACCCTTAAACCCTAAAACCCCTCAACCCCAAAGCCCTAAACCCAAAAACCCCTAAACCCCCAAACCCTTAAACCCTAAACCCTGATTTAACTGTTAGCCTTAGAGCTTAGGAATTTTTCACCCTAAACTGTAAACCCTCAACCCTTAAACCCTAAGTGATAAACCCTAAACTCTAAACCCTAAACCCTAAGCCCTAAACCCTAAACCCCAAACCCTAAATCCTAAACCCTATACTCTTTTTCGCGCCTGCCGTTGCCAAGATTCCCAGGTGGCATTCTGCCACCGAAAAGTGCCGCCAGTCGAATGGCGAGGAAGAGCCTTGCAGCAGCGCCCAAGAAGACGCGACTGTCGATAAGTCCCAACAACCGTGAGTTGGGATGGCGGGTTGAGCACCACGTCAACCAAGTCTTGTAGCTCCTAGTCTCCAAGATGTTTATATGCCCACTCTTCTTAAACCGATACCTAAGGAGCTCGTGGAACGGGAGTGAATCGGCAAGCTCACCTATCCACTCCGGATCGTCGTAAAACGGACGAGGCTCGAAGGTGCTATCGGTAAGCTTAGGGAGGGCGCCTAAACCACCAAGGCCTGGGGTCTGTAGGGTGGCGTGCTTGGAGGACAACGGCGAAACTGGAACGAAGCCGTCACAGACCGTAGGGCCGTCAATGGTAACCGGGACGACCACATTGGCGTGCGCCTTTCTGTGTCTTTTGGGGGGGAGGCGATTTGCCCCCTACAATGGGAAGTGGGACGACGGCTCCGCCAGTCTTTCGATAGGGGGGTGGTCGCGCTCCACCATCCCGCTGTCCATCCCACCAATTTTACTCACCCCCCACAGTACAAAGGCAGGTTTCGGGTCTATTTACCCCTAGCGGCTGAATCGCTGGGATTGCGTCCTGCGACACACCTATCTCTCCAACCAGCAGGACTACTGGCAGGCGCCTTGGCGCGGGTTCGGCAGTGGAGCCAGCTCGAGGGCTATAATATACGGGGCGCTCTCTCGGTGTGGTTGCCTGGGCCGCGGCGTATCGCTCTCTGGTACCCCGAACACCTTCACTTGCTCGGCACATACAGGCTGGAGCACCTTCATGCGGGTTTCGTTCGGAGAAACTTTGCGAGCGTTGTGCCGGATAGGACGCGGAACTTCGCGCCGTATGTCCTCGGGGAAGGCCTTTCCATTGAGGACTGGGTGGATGCGGCAAGGGTATTCAGGGAGCAGGGTGGCCTCGCTGAGGGCCTTCAATATCCCTTCTTGGCCCAAGTACCATAGATTCCAGCAGCCTTTTTTTCTCACCAGGCCGCAACTGACTGGACACTTCGACCGCCGCGATTGGCCCTTCTTGTATGCTTTAAACGATGAACACATGGCTGACGCCCCTGACTGGCGACATCGGCTTAATGGTATTGCAGAACGCTACTGGGCTTATCACACCTTGGCCGCCGAGCTCTCTCTTCGGCCGGCACGCGGGTCGGGCAGCGCACCTCGCAGGCATTGGTGATGGGCCGTTAGTAGCGGCTTATGAGCCGCGGTCCATGCTGGTGGTAGTTCGCCTGAAGGCTGTCATCGCATGGTCCTCTGCCTGTGGGAAGTCTGGGGATGATACCCGGGCCATTCGGCTTTGCAGACGCTTAAAAAACCATGACAAGCTGAGCCGCGAACGGGGTGAAGGTCCCCTGTCACTCTTTTTTGACTGGGGGACTATCTGTCCAGTGTGCTGCACATGTGGATTGCGCCTGTGTGTGGGTAGAGGTACTGTGCTTGTATGTCGGTGCGCGGCAAGCGCTTGGGAAAGGCGGACGACCTGCGCGGCGACTTGTTGATAAGCACAGGACCGCCGCTCTGCGGGTGTCTCGGGCCTAGCATTGCTCGCTGGCCTGCCAGAGGTTAACGTAAAGTGGCCCAGTGAGGCATCATGGAGCAATACCCGGGCCATTCGGCTTTGCGGTCGCTTACGGGCCGGTGCAACGATTTGCCACATAACGGGAGATCCATTGTCGCGGTTCGAGGTTGAACAGACATGCCGGCGGTAGCGACTTGCAAGTTGCTGACCAAGCTGTTGGGTGTTAGCCTCAAGGCTGTCGGCGCAAGGTCCTCTGCCTGTGTGATGTCTGGGCGTGATACCTAGCCTGAGGCTTTACAATCGATTAAAGAACCTTGCCAGGCTATGCCGAGAACGGGGTGAAGGCGTCCTGCCACGCAATTTTGAAAGGAACTATATGTCTAGTGTGCCGCACAGGCGGATTGGGCCATTGTGAGGGTATCGGTACTGTGCTTGTTTTTGGTGCGCGGCCCACGCAATGGGAAAAACTCACATTCCCTGGCTTGTTTATAGGCACATGACCGCCGATCCTTCGTGTCGAGGGATTAGCTCAGATTGCGAGTTGAGGGGCCCTTTTCCTTTGCTTTGATGCAGCGCTTGGGCACAAACAGCGGAGACTGCCTGTCGACGCACTTGCCGTCTCTGGTTGCGCCGTGTGAACACTGTGCTCGGGTGGCAGCATGGATGACCACTTGATCGCCAGGCGACCTCAGCAAAATGAGTTGCGGCCTGTAAGCTACAACCTGGTGGTGCTGTTCACTTCATGGCGTCTTATCAGCCTTTTCAGCAAACTCTCGTGGGAGAAACGCAGGGCGGTCTGCAATGTCTCGGCAACCATCCGCTTTGCTTCTTAGGTGACCTCACGTCGCATGCGGGATTGTTGCTGCCTGAGCACCCTGCACGCTAACTTGCAAGCCCGGCTGCCTTACTCTGCCTTGCAGTTGTCAGCATGAGCCATTGCGCGACCCATGCTTTACG